TTTTTGGAGCAGAAGTTCCTGTTTTTTTTTTTTCCCCCCCTCTGCTTTAATTTTGTGGTCACATTTCCCAGATGTTGGCAAAAAAAAGGGCTGATACGATGTGGTTACAGTACTGGAGAGATTTTAAAAAAGGTCCAGGCAGCAGGGGGTGACTTCAGAGGGGAACTGCTGTTCCGTGGGACTGGCTGGAGCTTGCTCTTCTTGGAGCTGTGCTGGGAGAAATGGCCCGGACAGCTCTGGAGCTGCGTTTGCAGCGGATGGGTAAGTTAGTCATGCTGTTGCTGCTCAGGTCTGAGCTCTCTTTGCCTGAGAGGAAAGGGCATTTGCAGTTTGGGAAGGTGGAGGACCAGCTCCCTGTTTGCCAGAGTGATGTTTGCACTGGGTGCTCTGTGCCGGGTTCATCTCAGGGCTGAGGATTCCTGAAGGCTGTTCCTGATGAGCCGCTTAAGGACAACCTGCTGGCCTGTGAGAGCAGCCTGAGCCCCGTGTCCTCGCTGACCGCTCCAATGTGGCTGGAAAAGGGTCTTCCGGCTTGGCTTTCCTCCCAGAAGCTTTGGATCCTCCAGGCTGTGCCATGATGCAGTGGTGCCGTGGCATCACTTCTTCATCTTCTCCTTCCCTAGCAGCAGCAGCAGCTAAGAGTGGTCAGGGTCTGACCAGCTTGGTGTCTCTGCACCTTGGAGTAGCAGGTCTGCTTTGCCATCTTGGTGCCTCTCCTGATCCATGGGTGTCTGTAGGGCAATGAAAACCTGTTTCCTAAGAGCCGTCCCTTGCTGTCACAAGGGGAGAATGGGCACATCTGTCCTTCACCTTCATCTGTAGAGCCTCCCTGGCCTGAAAACAAGCTCCACAGCGAAGAGCCACGCTTCTCTGCAGAGATCGCTGTGCCCTGCCGAAGGCAGCTCCATGCACATCGTCTGCTCGAGCACCCATGAGGTCCTGCCACCCAGCTTTCAGTAGGGCCCATGCTGTTACTGCCAATGTTTGGTTTTTGGACACCACCAGCGTGCCCGGCCATCCAAAAACCGCAGGAAGAGACGTGGTCCCCTGTGCCCCCCCAGCCGAGCTTAGCATGGGAGCAAAGTGAACTTTCTCATCAGACCTAGCTCATGAAATAACCAGCCAGCGGTTGCCCATGTTTTGTGCACAGGATATTCCCAGGGCTTTCTGTTTCGCCGGTGGAAGGTTTGCTCTGCGATTTAAAAGCTATTGTAGTCTGGAGCCCGTTTCCGAGGTACTTCCCCTCAGGGATCTCTGCTGGGTTTGGCCACGGACCAGTGCTCTGAGTGTTGGAGGCCAGGGGCTGGGCAGAGCCGGGCTGGGCAGCGAGCCCTG